GGCACCTGGCCACGGATTTCTGTTATCACCACCATCAGAGCACATCTTCTGGTTCCATCGAAGATGATTGCCGTCTCCGGGGCAGAGAAATTTCCAAGTATATGATGCATCTTCTGGTTGCTAGTCCTGAAATGCTAATGGCTGGCAGCAGAAGGAACCTATTCACAACCGCGTATAAGGAAGTCGAGCGCCTTCTCAAGCATGAGACATCGCAGCATGAGGCGCTTCTTACAAAAGAATTGATTGCTAAAATGAGGCCTGCTAAAACTGTAAGTGAACCTATTGTTGGAGAGGCTTGGTTGCTTGCTGAAGGGTTGATGCGTGTAGATGGTGGAGAGAAGAGGTGGAAGGTGATCCAAGGCGTGTGGGTGGAGATGCTCTGCTTTTCGGCTGGAAGATGCCGAGGCTTTTTGCATGCCAAGGCCCTCGGCTCCGGCGGGGAGTACCTCTCCTATGTCTGGCTCTTCTTGGCGCATGCCGGGATGGAGACATTCTCAGAGAGGCTTCAGAGGACGCAACGCCTGGCCCATTCCTATCCATAGTACTCACTGAAAATGAAGCTGGGTGCTCCATGAGCTCGATCAAGAGTAATCATGTTATGCTTTTCCTTTAATTTTGGTAGCTGGCTCGTGTTGTTTTCCACTCCTCATTTCTCAAATTTTACTACTTAATGTAATGTCTACTCCATTTTTATTCGGTCTTATGTGATCGTCCTGTCCCAGTTCATGTATTACAACGAACCAGAGCCGGTCTCAGGTTTTATCAGCTCAAAGTTCGTATATCCAACATTCAAGGGAGTAGAGTAGCTAGTTTTGTTGTCTGTTTTCAACATCACAGGTTTCCTTGTTCGAACCATCCAAAGTTAAAGAAATGATTCACGCATTCTCTCCATCACCATCGCAATTGTACGCCTCTGCCATCGGCTCATTGCATCGCTCTGTGCCGAACTACCTCCAACGTTGTATAAACCACTGTGAGGTATAGAATTCGTGAGGCTGAAGCTACTGTCAAGTTATACTGTTCCTGTGGACTTATTCGGTTATCGGACGGTTCCCATCGCTCCTCCTAGTCAAGTTATACTGTTCCTACTAGTTCATTGTGACCAGACGGTTCCCATCGCTTCCCCTAGTCAAGAACCTTACAATCCGCATAAATTGCCACAACACCTGACACCGTGAAGCCACCATTGTTCATCGTATCTATTACCTCCATGCAATCTTATTCAACCACCAAATTGTAGATTCCTAGATGTTGCGCGAGCAGTACTTCGTCTCGTAACGCACAAGCTTCAGCAGCTGCTGTATCCAGTACATGATCAATCCTCTCATTTGACATTGCAATGAAACCTCCTTTCTTGTCTCTAAGGATCATACCAATAGCGCCTTTGAGCATCTCTCAACGGAACGCTACATCCACATTGAGTTTTACTTGTGCCTTCATTGGCTTGGTCCACCCTCCCCTTTCGACACCTATATTCTTCTTCATGCCTTCACATAGTTTGCAGTTGAGGCAGAAATCGACATGGTCGAATGAGCTGGTACCTGCACGTCCTCTCTATGGACATATTGTCTCCTCTCCCACCATACGTACCAAATCCCGACAAGAATAAGTAGTTGAGCACTTACATCTGGTATCAACCTTCTGCTTATAGGTTCACATAAAAATAGTCCAAAATTGTTGACCCTGCTTGATCCACCTCACGTGCTTCTTCCACAACTCTGTAAAGTTTCAAACATCTCCATATCTCGGCTGCTCTAGGGCAAGCAGAAAATGCATGCTTAATATCCTCACAACCACCGGCACACATCAGACAACTGCTGGACGTGGCGATATGCTGGTTTGTGAGGACGCCCAGACATGGTATGAAACCGTTCTAGACTTTCCATGCATGAATCTTTATCTTGGCCGGCACTGAGTGCCCCCACACCTTGGCCCAAATAGGATATTGCTGGGAGCGTTCACCTTCACTACATTCATATCAGTGACTGAACTGGTGGTCCCATTCGGCGTGGTAAACCACGCCGACCTCGCGGAGAACATGTCATTTCTTGTAAACCTCCATGCCACAAAATCCTCCAATTTCCATGTGGTGCTAAGGGAATAGACAAGATTCATCGAGCATCCACCTGCCAGAACATTATATTAATTAACTCTTGATTCCATAACCCGGTGACTCGATCAGTAAGCTCAGAGACTTTCATCAATAAGTTTGCTCTTCTTGGCGTAATTGCACAACCAATAGCACTATCAACGATCCATGCATCCGACTAGGTATTCACTTTGAGATCCATCTCCTATGTGCCATATTGTTCCTCTGTTGAAAGTGTTGGTCCCCGCACATATACTCTGATAGGTCTAAGAACTTTCACTCTTCATTTTTGCATCTAAAAGACTCTCATCCGGATAATACTTTGCCCTCAGAATTTGTGCATAAAGAGAGTTAGGACTTGCTAGCAACCTCCATACCTACTTGGCAAGCAAGGCATGATTAAAACTATGCAAATCTTTGAACCCCAACCCTCCTTTTTTTCCTTTGGGACACATAGTTTCCACCAAGATACCCAATGCATACGCTCTGTCACCCCTTTGCCAATTTCTTCAGGATTTTGAACCCCGACATCGCAAACACCGGCATGGTCTGAGCGACTGACTTAGTGAGCATTTGCTTGCCTCCCGCAACAGGTTCTCCTTCCACATATTCACCAACAGGTTCATACGATTAACATGGTATTCAAAGGAATCACTCCTATCAAATCTCACCATGGCTGGTAACCCTGGGTATTTATCATTAAGTGCATCGGTATTGATACCCAAATTCCAATGAACCAGAACTTTGTCCTCCATCGGGCTAAAATATATGCTTGACATAGTATTGTTGGGGAACGTAGTAATTTGAAAAAAATTCCTACGCACACGCAAGATCATGGTGATGCATAGCAACGAGAGGGGAGAGTGTTGTCCACGTACCCTCGTAGACCGTAAGCGGAAGCATTATGACAACGCGGTTAATGTAGTCGTACGTCTTCACGATCGATCGATCCTAGTACCGAACGTACGGCACCTCCGCGATCTGCACATGTTCAGCTCGGTGACGTCCCACGAACTCACGATCCAGATGAGCTTCACGGAAGAGCTTCGTCAGCACGACGGCGTGATGACGGTGTTGATGGAGCTACCGGCGCAGGGCTTCGCCTAAGCACTACGACGATATGACCGAGATGGATTATGGTGGAGGGGGGCACCGCACACATCAAGAATAAATACGGGGCCAAAGGGCCAGCCTATCTTAAACACCTCAAAGAGGTAAACACTTCCGTACTCTCTGCATTAAACTGTAAATTATATGATACGGAAGAAGCACATGCCATGATATATAATAGAAATCCACCTTTCCGCAAAACCCAATCTGTGCATCCTCCTGCACAGAAAACTGCACTTCACTTTGTCATAAGCCTGGTGCATATCCATTTTAACTGCACATAATCCAGTCTTCCACAATTCATTCTTATTTTTGTTTCTTTATTCATACTATTTGATTTTTTCACTATTACTTCACTTTGATTTTTTTAGTGAAGTATTTGACATTTCTTTTTTTTATCCAATTATATTCTAACTTTATCATTTAATTAATTTCATTTTAAATTTTGAGGTAAATATATGAAGAAGATACTTGTGCATGTGAACACTTTAGATGTCGTAATTTTTCATTTTGAATACATAAATATCTTATTCTCAAATACATAATCATTTTTCGAGACATGTGGTTATTTTTATAGTCATGAACATTGTTTTGAAATACATGAACATTTGTAAATTAGTAAATGATTGTTTTGCATATGATATTGTCCAATTCTACCAAACATTTTTAACTTGTAGCTTGTTCATTTTATTAAGTACGCTTGAACTGAATTTGTTCCATGACGAAATCAATACTTAAAAATCGCGTGGAATTTTTAGTGACCAAATATATGTAATTTCTCCATTAGTTGGCGGAAGGCGACATGAGCGCAAAATGGCTGCGCACTGGTCAAAACGAGGGTGAATCGCCTTATTATTCATACGTAAGGCCAAATGGCTGGTGTCCACTCACAAGATCGTTGAATATTTTTCAGATTTTTGCATGATAAACGCCAAGAGAGATCACTTAAGTTGGCCCTGTTGCAAGGAAAAGTGTAGGTGTTGGTTTGGCGGTAGCGACTCAAGCTGGAAGCTGCCGCGGCCTAGCCTTGGATATGTAGCGGACCGCTCGCGGTGTACCCGATCGATCGAACGGCTAGCTATACAGGAGTATGTCCACTAGGGATGCTCTATCCCTAGTGGGAGACCGGGAGCTAGGTATCTGCACGTGAGCTAAATCTTTGGCTATAAATATGCATGCGATGCACTACTCTCTTGCACAAGCCACTAAGCCACCACCACACCACTCCACCAGTAAGAAGTGCAGCAGGTAGCTAGTAAGCCGGCGTAGCTTTGCTCTTGCAGCTAGCTAGCTAACCATGGCCGCCTCTGCCTCTTGCATTTCTCTGGTGGTGCTGCTCGTGGCTCTGGCCACGGCGGCGTCAGGCCAGCTATCGCCCACATTCTACGACACGTCGTGCCCCAGGGCACTGGCCACCATCAAGAGCGGCGTGGCGGCCGCCGTAAGCAGCGACCCCCACATGGGCGCGTCGCTGCTCCGGCTTCACTGTATGTGATGTGCAGGGCTGCGACGCGTCTGTTCTGCTGTCTGGCATGGAACAAAACGCGGGTCCGAACTTTATGTCGCTGCGAGGCTTCGGCGTCATCGATAGCATCAAGGCGCAGCTCGAGGGTATATGCAGCCAGACCGTCTCCTGCGCCGACATACTCACTGTCGCGGCCCGTGACTCCGTCGTCGCTGTAAGAATATCATCTTATGATCATTTACATCATCAACTGGATTCTCGGCATCACTTGACACCATCGTTAACCGTTTGTTTGTTTTTGTTTTGAATTCTTCGCGTGCAGCTCGGGGGGCCGTCATGGACAGTCCCTCTGGGGAGAAGGGATTCCATATAGATGCAAACGAGGCGGCGGCAAACACGGACCTCCCAAGCTTTACATCTAGTCGGTCAGATCTTGAGACGGCGTTCCTCAACAAGGGGCTCAACACGATCGATATGGTGGCCCTCTCGGGCGCGCACACGATCGGCCAGGCGCAGTGTGGGACCTTTAAGGACAGGATCTACAACGAGACTAACATCGACACGACCTTCGCCACATCTCTCCGGGCCAACTGCCCCCGGTCCAACGGCGACAACAGCCTGGCGAACCTGGACACGACGACGCCCAACACGTTCGACAACGCCTACTACACCAACCTCATGTCACAGAAGGGGCTCCTGCATTCTGACCAGGTGCTCTTCAACAACGACACCACCGGCAACACCGTCCGGAACTTCGCGTCCAGCCCGGCGGCGTTCAGCAGCGCCTTCACGACGGCCATGATCAAGATGGGAAACATCGCGCCAAAGACAGGGACGCAGGGGCAGATCAGGCTCAGCTGCTCCAGGGTGAACTCTGATTGACAGACGAGTTACTGCCTACTAGCCAGCACGACACGTGAATGAATAAGGCCACAGAACCAGTGGCCAATATAAATACCAGGTCTTGAAAACGTGTATTTTATGTACGGGCAGCAGCAAATCATGCATGCATCTACACATATATATGTAACGATCGCAATTCCCACTTTCTCATGCAAAGGCATGGAGAATTACTATCAATCCTAGTTATACGTGTATACATATATAACTAGCAAAAGAGCCAGTGCGTTGCAACGGGAGAGAAAACATAACACACACTCTTAAACCAACAACCATCACCCAAGACCACAATAGGTCCATCTCTTTTATTTTTGCGAGGCATCATATTTGTGTTGCCGCTTATCCTCCTTCTCATCCTCGCCGGTGATGGTCTCGGTGTTCACACAAAACAAAACAAAAACGTGTTTGAATATGTTTAATCCTAAGGCGTCTCTCTCTCCCTCTCTCATCCCTCTCCCTCCCTCCCTCCCTCCCTCTCTCACTTTCTCGCTTTCTCTCACTCTCGCGATAAGAAATCTGTTGTTTTCCCCTGTAACATTTTTCAGAGGTATGCATGTGTAGTTATCGATGTTTTCTTTTCCCTATATTGTTATAGTGGGGTGTTTAGTTGCAATCCGGGTCGCCGCCGGTATGAAAGGAAAACGGAGCTTACGCTATAAATTATAAGTTTGCTCCCAAAACGATATTTTAAAAATATTTAACAGGTAAAATTAACATCATATTTAGATTCCACATATTTTTCTAATACAGTTTCATATATAATATGTTAAAATCGAAGTTACGGTTTAAAAGATACGGATAATTTAGAAAATCATTTATTTGACTTAAATATATTCCAAAATAATATTTAAAAATACTTAACAGGTGAAAATAATCTCATATTCATATTCTACATATTTTTCTAATCAAATTTCATATATAACATGTTCAAATAGGAGTTACGGTTTAAAAGATATGGATGATTTAAAAATACATTGTTTGACTTAAATATGATCCGCGGATGAATTACCTAAATCATCAGGGTTTTTTTCAAAAAATGTAAAATAACGGTTCGGGTGTGACTTAAATCCGGACTGCAGGTTGATTTCAACAAAACACAGGGACTTTTGTGTAAAATATAAAAAAACGATTCGTTTTGACTTAAAACAGGACTGCGGGTTGAATTCTTTGAAATAGAGGGACTTTTTTGAAAAATGTCATGACGGATGAAAGAAACCCAATTTGCTTTATTAATAGGTAAAGATGAGATATAAACTTCTCTTTTTACATTTGGCATGCATGACGTGGGCATGGAGAACTACTATCAATCGTACTCCCTCCGTTCTGAAATACATGACTCAACTTTGTACTAACTTTAGCCATTCCGTTTAGCCGTTCCGAAATAGATGACTCAACTTTATATTAACTTTTACTAAAGTTAGTACAAAGTCGAGTCATCTATTTCGAAACAGAGGGAGTAATACATAGTGAAGATATACACTTCTGTTTCGACATTTGGCATGAGGTAGCCGTGCTAGATTATTTTTAGGAGAAAACTTTTTTTTCCCAATGTTAGAAGAAAACTCAAGAATGTGAACTATCGTATGCGCTGCGCTCCCCGATTCCGATATATCACCCACTGCAGAAGATAGAAGCGCTTCTGTTGCTGCTGGACCGATCCATAGGTGCAAATATTTTTATTTCCTTTCTCCATTTTCCCCGTGTTCTTTGTTCTCTGTTCTTCTCAATGTTTTCCACCATTTTCCCTTTTCCTTTTTGTTTTTTAGGATAAAATATGTAAACCTTTCCAAAATTACATGAAAACCTGTCTTGAAAAGATTAATATACTTTCTTTCTTGCCAAATTATAATGCAGATAAGTTTTATCAAAAGCCAAACTTTTTAAACATTGACCAAATTCATGTAAAAAACCATCGACAATTACATACCAAAGGATTTGTCATGAAATATACTTTTGTATGGTATGTATCCGATATTGTAAATGTTTAAATTTTCCTATAACTTAGGTGAATTTTGAATTTGGAAAGCAAATATATGCACCACAATTTGGCGAGGAGGGAGTATATGAATATTTTTCTCTATGTAGTGAGTCATTTTATAATATGAGTTGCACATGTTTTAAAATTTCGTAAAAGTTTATGTATAGTTACATGAATTTTCATTATATATATGTAAATTCTCTTCATTAATAAAAATATTTTTATTTAAAATCTATTAATAGAAAACCAGTAACTACTTTTGTAAAATATATATGAATTACTGGCCCAGAGTGGTCAGCCTACCCTCACACGGTATCAACGTTTCCCCAAATTTTGCGAACCTTCTCTCTCAAATAATTTTTTCTTGCAAACCGCACTGCACGAGAATCCTCTGTCCTACATAGTTAGGTCGGTCCAGTATCAGGTCTTTTTTATTTTAATTTTCTTTGCTTTTTGCTTTCTTCACTATTTACTCAACTTATTGATTTGATTTTTTTTAATATTTGACATTTCTTTGTATTTTTTATCATAGTATATGCAACAAAAAAAATAAATGATATCTTTTGAAATTTGTAGTAATTATATAAAAATATGATTTTTCATGTAAACCATTTTTTGGAAATATAAATATTTGTTTTCAAATATATTGAGATATGTTGAATTGATATAGTAGGATGAAATGCCCGTATAGCAGGGATATGAGTCTACAACGCATAACACAGGTTTGCCGGTCCTGAGTCGCTTGACAAAAAAGCATGTTAAGTTTATTTACAATTGAAAATCCTCTGTCCTACATAGTTAGGTCGCCGTCCTCACTCTCCCATGGAGGTAAACGCACTAGGAGAGGTCATGCGCGGTTATGAAAGTTGAGGAGGGTAACTTAGGCCAAAATAGATTTTGAAAATATGCGGGAAAACTGAAAATAGTTATACGCAGGGTAAAAAGAACCGGAGGAAGTACGAAGAGGAGTCTAAGCTACATAGAGTTGCAGGCTTGAGCTGCCCTACGTTCAATAGGCACCTTCTGTCTACTGTAGCTATACTTGGGGGTCCTGGGACCATAACTCCTTGAGTGGTTCTTTTGTCAGGTAAAGCGTCAATGCAGTTATGTCTAATATGATGCGACAACCAAAAGCAAATGTTGTGAAGAAAAATGAGGTGAAAGAAACAAACAAGTAGCTGCGTGATGTGAAAAATGAACTTGTCAAGACAAAGTGGTGCATACATAGACCTGACGATCGTGCGAAAAAAAATGTATATATATCAAACTAAGCAGATTTTTTTTTCTTGAGTTGAGTTGTTTGGCTCAACTAAGAAGATTTCGAAAAAGGATAGTATTACAATTTGTTTTACACACCACACCACGTTTCAGGACCCACCTCATAGATCACTAAATGGTCTAAAAACTACTCCTCTGTAAATTTTTACAAGTTGTTTTAGCTCATTATTAGTGAGCTAAGACGTCTTACAAAAAATTACAGAGGTAGCACAAAACCTTTCCCAAATGGAGTAAAAGCTGACAAGGAGAAAATTGGAATTACTCATATTTCTATATATTATATCAGGTCTAGTTGCAAAACCAAAAGCTTGAGGACCATCAAGAGTTGGCGCCATCGAGAACACTACTATGTAGTCCAAAAAATTAAACTGCCGTTATATGCAGCATGGGACAAGCAAAAAGACAACGGCCGTAATACCTTTTGTCGAAATCTGCCAACGAGCAGCTGTATGAAAGTGGTCTCCTTGTTTTTTTTTTTAGAAAAGGAGGACGACCCCCGGCCTCTGCATCTGGACGATGCATACGGCCACTTTATTAATTATTGACACAAGACCGTACAGAGTCATACAACAATAAGTCTAAAGCCATCAAACTAAGCAACAACTGTCGCTATCCCTATCCAGTTGATGTAGGGGCGCTGAAAGTCTGGGCCTCATACCAAACAGACCACGCAACCAAACCTAACCATCTAAAGACTTGAGGTCCCACCCAGGACGCCTGCCGGGTATGGGCACCCACCAGTCCGGCGTGCTTCTCAACCAGGACCCCCTGCCGGGTATGAGGCCGCCGCAGCCACCTGCCACGAACCCATCTTCAGAGCTGTACTACTGCATCAACCTTGGCCAGTCCAACTGCCACCGACGCCACCATGACGCCAGGCAGCGTCACCCTCCTGCGCGAGTCCATCTCCGCTCATCAGGCGCCGAGTCTCCACTGCGCCACGCCGCCGAGATCCGCCGTCATCAATGAAGCAGATGAAACACCGCTCCTCCTCTTGTCCCCTCCAACCAGCACTCGCTCCAAAACGATACCCCCAGGAGGGAGAACGGTACCGATAGCACCGTCATCGTCCGATCCGGTAGACCCAGACCTAGGGTTTCCCCGGGAACTTTCCGATCAGATTGATGAGACTTGCAACGACGATGCCTCCAGAAGGAAACGACGTCTGAAACGCCGCCATCGTCCACCAAGACCGCAGTCTGGCGCGATTTTCACCGGAAGCCACGTCTTTCCGATCTCGTGGCTGGCTGGAACCGAGCAGAACCTCGCCACGAATACGTATGTTGCCGTCGGTACTCCGGCGAAGATCCGACATCTCCTCACCGGTCCCTCCACGCGCCGCCGGTCGGCGAAAAGCCTCCCCGCGACGGATCCAAACGGGGCGTTGGATCCGCAGTAGCCGTCGTCACCATCACGAGCAGGATAGCCCACCTCGCCGGATGGAGCGCTGCCACCGCTGCTGTCCATGCAGGGCCGCCGCTCCGCCGGCGATGGTGCTCGGGCCCCCGCCGCACAGCCCGGAATCTCCGTCCTAGTCGCCGCCGTTGGATCGCATGAGAAGGGCCGCCCCCGCCGCCCTCAGATGGGATCCGCCGCCTCCCCGCCCAGAACCAATGGCACCGGGCCCGCCGCCACCGCGGCCCACGCCGGCGGCAGCAGCGGCAGGAAGGGGTGGAGGGAGAGGTGCTGGCGGCGCTAGGGTTGGGGCCCGTGGCGTCGCCCGGGG